AAATATTGTGGAACAGGGAATTTTGATAGTCTTTTGCTTGGATGTGAATTGTCTTCATTTCTTTCCTGCAGGAACATGTCCAACCACCTCTGTGTACACTGTCTCTACCACGAGTTCGACCAGCATTGCCAGCACAGGTACTCTGTTCAGCTTCCTATTCCAGGTAACCTGATTGGGAATAGAAATTAGCAGGAAGGAAACAGAAATGCCTCATTTGCTGTCCTGATTGAAAAAATAGTCATTCAAAAACAACCTCTGAGGAAAGGATAATCAAAGCACATAAATAGAGACTACTTGGCCATAAGTAAGTATCCTACCAACAGGAGGAGAGTTCAACAGGAAGTGGAAACAAATCAAAAGATAAAAGATGAAATTTGAAGTGAATATGCTCTTTAAAAAATAACCTGGGCTCCAAGGGGGCAAGAGACAGGAACTGACTTCTGTAATGCTGTCAGAAAATCACATCAGCTTGTGCTCTTCTCACCTGCTAATGCAGTTCAAAAGGCAGCAGGGTAATACAGGCATTTAAGGCTTACATTCCTTGACCTGGAACTTTTAGGCATCTCTGTAGTGATGCTGAGAGGATGGAAAGCTGCTCTGATAAGGTCCAACCGGTCAGGATGTCTGTGCTGGGAAGGAGAAGGGAACACTCTTACTGCAGTGCTGTCCCTGCCTGGGGGGGACAGGTTTGGAACAGGGTTGCATAGACGAGGCATTTTCCTGGAGTAACTTGAGGGTTGGGAAGAGAGCCCTTGGCTGGCAGCTTGGAAGTGTTGCAGTCCTCAGCAGAGTGGTGGCAGCCCCATGAAAACCTGTGTGCAGGGTTCTGGGCTGGCACTCCCCCAGCCCAGCCAGGGAACCCAGAATCCTGCTGACATGTAAACAGCCACACTGCAACAATACAATGGAATCTGTCCAAGCCTGGCCCTAGTGTGGATTCCATGTGGTACTGGGATTAGGTTCAGCAAGGGGAGGCTGGTTTAGTTTAGCATGTCTGGTGTCACAGAAACTCCTCCTGGCTGATCGGTGAGATCCTCATGGAGAGGTGCAGCACTGTTTGCAGGGACTGAACACAGTCACTGTCCCTT